AAATAAATAAAATCTTTAAAAAAAAAAATAGAATTTTCTTCATTTTTGGTGTGTGGTTTGCCTGTGATGTGTTTCAAGCTACATATTCTCACCAGAATATTACCTGAGTGAGGTACCCTTCTCAGGGTCTTACTTGTGGAGGCAGCGGTGCCCACCTGCCCCCCCATTTGTGATGCTAATTTTGATTATTTGGTCAAGGTGTTGTCTGATTTCTTCGCTGTACAAGTTAGTTTTGTATAGTTACTATTTTTCCCTTGCAACTAATAAGTGGTGGGGAGACATTTTAAGACTGTACAAACATCCCACTCTGCATTAAGAATTTCCCCTAGATTGAGTATCCATTGATGATTCTAGTGTGATTCAATATTTACCTTGTTGGTTGCAAAGCAATGATTTGGGGCGTCTGGGTGGCTCAGTCCTTCGGCTCAGGTCATGATCCCGGGGTTCTGGGATCGAGCCCCTGGTCGGGCTCCCTGCTCAGCAGGGAGTCTGCTTCTCCCTCTCATCTGCCTGCCGCTCCCCCCTCTCTCTCTCTCTCAAATAAATAAAATCTTTTATTTAAAAAAGAAAAGCAATGATTTTCAAACTCCAGTATTTTCTCCACGTTTATGTCAGCACTCAGCATTCTGCTATCTGTAAGAGCCCTCCTTTCTCCCCCAGAAGTTTTTTTTGCCCACTAAATTCAATCCTTCCCCCACCCACTTTTTCAACTAGTTTTGTGTATGCTCAGATACTTACATGCATGTAGAAAATACACACACACACACAGAGGACTTTGCTCTTTGCCGTAGAAATTCAGTAGTTTGTAAGGGGTGTGGCTCAACCTCAGTATCTGAAGTGTAGCTGTTTTGCGGACCTTGGACTCTGGCCATGGCCTGGTGGAGGGGGCTGGCTGTCATGGTGCTGAGAGTGTGGGAGGCTCTGGGAGGCAGCACCTCACATTACATACTTTTTCCTGGACTCTTGGGGTTGAAAGGTGTCTTAAAAGTTATCTAGGCAATCCTGCCCCTGGATAAAATGAAACTTGGTAAATCATCTCATGTTTCATTTGCACCTGACAGATTTTCTCATGTAAAAGAGCACTGCCAACCACTGCATTTAATGAGGGTATCACACCCCCTAATTAATGAATTTAACATTAAAAACCAAATCAATATTTTTGAGCGTGGCATAGGATTTTCTTAAGGAGAGCCACGTTTCTCTATTGAGGAGACCTAACAACAACTTCTTTTTAAGCCTTTATTTTGGGCCCTTATTATTTGTAAACAGTGGAAAGAAGACTGAATGTGGCCAGGCCACAGGTCATTCATTCCTTCCTCTCTGACACACAGATTTGGGGGTGTCAACAGAAGATGCAGCATTTTCAGGGAAAGAGCCGGGCAGACCTTAAAGCTGACCTCTCGTCCCTATTCTGGCTGCTTTTATCAGCACAAGAAAGGAGACAAATCAAGAAAACCTGGGGCAGAACCTGGGGAGGTATCTGTGTTGCCCTTAATCCCAGAAAGTTCACTCAGCTGCTTTCAGAACCAAATGGACAAACCCAGTAAACGGCTTGCTTGGCCCTTGGTTGTTGCCGAGAGAAACTCTAGCATTTTGCAGGAAGGAAAACGGGGCTTGGGGAAAGAATGGCCGGAAGTGTTTTGGAAAGTGAAACCGAAGTTCTTTTGCATTTTTGTTCCCTCAGAGTCAGGGAATTCTGGTATTGTGCAGCCTGGGAGTGAGGCAGTGCAGCTTTGGTAGGGCTTGAAGATAAATCCCCCTCTTGCAGCCAGAAGCCCGGAGGGCTCCAGCGGGGAGGCATCCCTAGAGACTTGGGGGCAACTTGCCGGTCACCTCAGACAGGTCTCCTGGGGGTGCCCACCACACAGCCAGCGGCAGGGTTAACACCTCCCCAGAACACTTTTGCGGCATTCTGTTGCAGGCTGAGGGCAAGGGGTTTGGGGGTGGAGTGAATGGTGAGAATCATGCACAAACGATGAGGGCCCTCGGTGATGTTTCAATTTTGTATTTGAAGATCTAGAACGTTTATGTGGGACTGAAGTCAAAACTGTCAAGAGAGTATACTCAGAGGAGTCTGGTATTCCTGCCCCTCTTCCCCTCCCCGATTGCCATTTTTTTTGTTAGTTTATTTTTTTATTTATCCTATTCCTACTTTTGGGAAAAAAACCCCCAGCCATCTCTCCCCTTTATTATAAGAAGGAGCCCATTAAAATACTGTTCTTCACTTTACTTCCTTCATGTAATAGTATCTCCTGGAGAAGTATACAGTGTCTTCTGTGTCCTGCTCCACTGTGTGGATGGACCACAGCTCTTTCCTGCACTTTCTATTGCTGGGCATTCGGGTTATTTCTAGTCTTTAGTTATTCCAAATAATGCAGTGAATAAATATCCTTGTGCATGTGCCATACATCATATTTTTGTCACTGTGTCTTTGTGAACCTCCTCCTCTGAGAAAGCAGAGTCGATTCTCTTTTTGTCAGTCTCTGCGGATCTTTTCTCTGGCTGGGGACAAGGTATCCGTCCTTCTCTGCATCAAGTCCAGCTTTTCAGCCCTCATCCTAGCTGTGGATTTCCTGCGTTTCATTCATTTCCTGTCTCCTCAACAGAAGGGTTCCTGGCAAGATCAGCCTTCAAGGAGTAATGGTAGGTGTTTCTAATACACTTTACATAACTTGCATCAGTGTGGCAGGAATAGAAACATCTGATACACACCAAGCAATTTGAGGTGACTTGGGAGAAGGTTAACAAATGAGTGGAGAGTTCATTTCTTATCTCCATTCAGGCATGGATTATACCAGGCTTTTCTGTGGGAGGATGGAAAGGGCGGGGTGGTTTCTGCTTTGAAACCCTTGCGCAATAGCATCTGGGGAATGCGGCAATTCCTTCCACCCGTCACCTCCCCCCGCCCCCAATGAGCTCACCCTCTGGAAGGAGGGATGGGAAGCCCTGGTAAGGCTGGAACCCACAGGCCAGCATGACAGAGTGGAATGCTGACTCTGTGGAAATGTCTGGTGTGTGGCTCCAGATGCTACTTGTATTTTTTGGAGGGAGAAAGGCCAGAGGGAGAGAGGTCACTGGTGTGTTTAGTGCCCTGAACTCTTGCCCAAAGACCATGACCTCGGGGAAAATATTCCAGAATCTGCTACAGGGTTGAATGGCTTATGAACAAGTTTTTGGTGTAGTCTCTCCATGATATGTAAAGTTTATCAGAGGCCATTCCTTATTTTTTTTTTTTTCTGGAAATTTAAACTTCAGAGTCCAAACACTTCGCTTTCCTAGGAATCTCTGCCTTCGGCCTAAGTAGGAGATTGCATGATACAATCTTGAATGAGAGTTACTATGACCGAGCACTTGTCAGGTGCCAGGCCCTGTTCTAAGAGCTTTCTAGGGCTTATCTCATTGAATCCTTCAGTCACCTGGAGATGGGTACCACGGTTATCCTTGCTTAATGATGAGGAAGTGGAGACTCAAGAGGTCTAGTACTTTCCTGAAGGGTCACACGACTAGAAAGGAGTGAAGCTGGGATCTGAACCCAGCAGCGTGACTCCAAGGCTCCCCCTCCGAAACCCTGGTCCTATTACTGTGTAGCTCCAGGAACTTAGGCAATGGCTTCACTTCTCTGAAAAGTAAGAGTTTCTTTCAGTTTTGCAATTCTGTGGTTTGGAAGTTTGGACATGACTTCCCTGAAGCATTATCTTCTCCTAAGGTGAGGAGGACTTTACAGGTGCTCTGTACAACTACAGTTTGGCTCCCTTTTGGTGTGTTCTATGGTCTGGGGAAACTGGATTCACTCAGCCTGAGCTGCGCACCCAGGACTGACCCTTAACTATGGTTAATAATTAACTCAGGCCTCAGAGACTGGGGCAGAGCTAACTGGATTCTACTGAAAACTTGGGTGTGGGAGAAGAAAAGCTTGAAGTTTCATTTTCCTGTACTGTCCTGTGACAACCCATCATTGGCTTCATCTCTGGGGTGGATTCTTGTTTAGAGGAGCCAAGGAGTTTGCAAGAACACTTCAGAGCAATGCATTCCTTAGCCAGGGCTCAAGACATGACTGCATTAATCCCTGGGCTGTGGACTGATTTTCTCCCTGCCCAGAATGGGTCTCTGGGTTTCCCTTGTCTCCCCTCTTTCTGCTTCGTGGTGTTCGCATAGCCCCTCTGTATCCAGTAACAGACCCATGCTGCGAAAGCCCATCCAAGCTTTCTGGCAGAAACCCTGGAGCGGATTCCTGGGATCCTGACTCCCAGCCCATCCTCTGTCAGGATATCTAAATGTTTGGGGACGGATATTGGAAGAGTCTGAGAACTTCTTTTTCCCTGGTCCCCACGGAGATGCTGGGAGCATCTGCTGCCACTCTACCTTCTGAAACCAGCACAGAGGTTTGGACGGTTTCTTCAGGTCTCTCTCGAGGGTCTATCCCTTAATGACTTTGAGGGCTCAGAGCTGTTTGTTTCTGTCATTGTTCTTCTTCCTCTCTCTGTGATTATCTCTGCCCTTCCCACCTTTCTCTGAGACACTCAGAGGTGTGTTGACCTTTGGCCATGAGGGAGGCCGTTCTGTTGCCCTCACAGCCTCCCAGGGCCTTTGAATGATTTCTGGGTAGAATTTTCTTTTCCGTTGGCCGACGCGACTTCTTTTCTCCTCGGATCAAAGACACACCGTGTTTTTAGGAGATCATGTTAGCCACACAGAGGCCTCGCTGAAGCCAGCTCAGCTTATTTGTCATCACATGCTGTTAACAATAGCCTTCAAAAATAATTGCGTCTGCCTTCAGCTCAGGTCATGATCTCAGGGTCCTGGGATCGAGCCCCGCGTGGGGCTCCCTGCTCAGCGGGAAGCCTGCTTCTCCCTCTCCCACTCCCCTTGCTTGTGTTCCCTCTCTCGCTGTGTCTCTGTCAAATAAATAAAATCTTTTAAAAAAAATTGCTTGTATTTTAAACTTCTCACTGTGATCTCTACAGAAGAGATTTCTGTGTTTTCAGAGGAGTCAGATCACTCCAGGATCTTACCGTCCGACAATTGATAAGCATTTGATAGATTTGTTGTCTCGTTAGATCCTTACTTACGCTTTCTTCACTTTGCTGATCCAAAAAGGAAGACACTTTTGCATAAGCTCTTGGTTTGCCAAAGTTAAAATACATATTCTGTTATTTGACGCTGCTAATTGACAGTCTGCAGTCTGAATTTTAATCACTACCTGGCATTCCACCTTAGACTTAAGTGCTTAATTCCAGGCCAGGACCAGAATCTGGAGAACTCTCCGCCTTTGGTACTGATAAACGGAGTGGTTGGTTAGAAACGTGAAACCCTTAAAATGACGATTCCCTAATAAGTGGTTCTATCTCTTCTTCTTTCAAGGAGGCAAATGTGTACAGGATGGATCGGAAACACAGAGGCCACTGTGTTGTTGTCAATAACCACAAGTTTACCTCAATGTCCGATAGACCAGGGACTGATAAAGACGCTGGTAAGAAAATCTGGAATAGTGTATCACATGCAAGTTGGGGATCTTAAAAAAATCACTTTTTTATTTTCACATTTTCTTTCTATAATTTTAATCTTCCGTTTAAATGTAAGGGTGATATCGTAAATGTTTCTGGCCTCTTGTATGTCCCTGGTGTTGTAGTCCACCTGGGCTGCTCTAACGAAATACCATAAGTGTGATGGCTTATAAACAGCAAACATTTATTTCTAACAGTTCTGGAGGCTGGGAAGTCCAAGAGCAAGGCTCTGACATTTTGATGGCTGGTGAGAGCCCGCTTCCTAGATGGCGGTCTTTGTGCTGCGGCCTCACTTGGCAGAAGGGGCGGGAAAGCTTTCTGGGGTCTCCCTGTGGGCTCTACCCTCCCGACCTCATCACCTCCCAAAGGCCCCACTTCCTCATACCCTAACCTAGGGGTTAGGATTTCAACATACGAATTTTGGGGGACACAAACTTTTTTTAATTTAAATTTTAGGTAGTTAACATACAGTGCAATATTGGTTTCTGGAGTAGAATTTAGTGGTTCATCACTTACATACAACACCCAGTGCTCAGGGACGCCTGGGTGGCTCAGTCGGTTAAGCGACTGCCTTTGGCTCAGGTCATGATGCTGGAGACCCAGGATCGAGTCTCACATCAGGCTCCCAGCTTAGCAGGGAGTCTGCTTCTCCCTCTGACTCTCTCCCCTCTCATGCTCTCTCTCTCTCAAATAAACAAATAAAATCTTTAAAAAAACAACAACAACCCAGTGCTCATCATAACCAGTGCCCTCCTTAACACCCATCTCCCATCTAGCCCATTCCCCGCCCACCTCCCTCCATCAACCCTCAGTTTGTTCTCTAGTGTTAAGAGTCTCTTATGACTTGTTTCCCTCTTTCCTTTTCTTCTTTTTCCCCTTCCCATATGTTCATCTGTTTTCTTTCTTAAATTCCACATATGAGTGAGATCATATGGTATTTGTCTTTCTCTGACTGACTTATTTCACTTAGCATTATACTCTCTAGCTCCATCCATGTCATTCTTTTTGATGGCTGAATAACATTCCATTGTATATATATATGGAATATTCCATTATATATGTATGCACACACACATACCACATCTTCCATTATGCATTCATCAGCCGATGGATATTTGGGTTCTCTCCGTAGTTTGGCTATTGTTGATAATGCTGCTATAAACATTGGGGTACATGTATCCCTTTGAATCTGTATTTTTGTATCCTATGGGTAAATACCTGGTAGTGCAACTGCTGGATCATAGGGTAGTTCTTATTTATTTATTTATTTATTTGAGAGAAAGAGAGAGACAGAGCAGGAGCAGGGGGAGGAGTAGAGGGAGAAGCAGACTCCCTGCTGAGCAGAGAGTCTGATGTGGGACTCGATCCCAGGACCCTGGGATCATGACCTGAACCGAAGGCAGATGCTTAACCGACTGAGCCACCCAGGCGTCCCAGGGTAGTTCTATTTTTCACATTTTGAGGAACCGCCATACTGTTCTCCAGGGTGGCTGCATCAGTTTGCATTCCCACCAACAATGCAAGAGGGATCCCTGTTCTCCGTATCCTCTCCAGCACCGCTTGTTTCTTGTGTTGTTAATTTTAGCCATTCTGACAGGTGTGAGATAGTATCTCATTGTGGTTTTGATTTATATTTCCCTGATGATGAGTGATGATGAGCATCTTTTCATGGGATATAAACATTTAAACCATAGCAGGGGTGTCACCAACCTGCTGAGAGTGACAAGAGTCCCTGACCAGTTAGAACTCTGTGGTTTGGGGGAAAGCATGGTGCGTCAGCTAGAGAAAATCCATATTTGAGTTCTGGTTCCATCACTAACCAGTTTGTGACTGTGGGAGAGTCCTGGGGCCTTGGCTTCCTTATCTGTGAAATAGGATGAAACCTGGGCCTCTGCCGACTCTCAGGACCATTGTGATAGCACGGTGAGTACTATAAGAAGGCAGGTAGTAAGTTGTAAATTTTATTGTTATGAAAGTAAAAGAACTCCCAAGCTTCAGGCTCTTGGCTGTGCAAGTTTTATAACTATTCACATTGTTTCATCCCTTCATTTTATTGCATTCCACTCAATTTCATTTCATTTTATCATTTCCCCTTTCTCTCCTTTTTTTTTTACAGAGCACTTGAGGCATGTGTTTGAGTGGCTTGGGTTCAGCGTACATGTATATGATAATGTGACCAAAGGACATCTGGACAAGGTTCTGCAGGAATATAAGTGTCATCCAGGCCATTCTGACGGAGACTGCTTTGTGTTCTGTGTTCTGACCCATGGGAAATTTGGAGCTGTCTACTCTTCAGATGGGACCCTTGTTCCCATTCAGGAGATCACGTCTCACTTCACAGCCCAGCAATGCCCTGGTCTGGCTCATAAGCCCAAACTCTTTTTTATCCAGGCCTGTCAAGGTGAAGAGATACAACCTCCTGTATTCGTTGAAGCAGATGCTGTAAATCCTGAGCGTGTATCCCCTTCCCTTAAGGACAGTATTCCCGATGAGGCGGATTTCCTTCTTGGCCTGGCCACTGTCCCTGGCTACGTATCCTTTCGGCATGTGGAGAAAGGCAGCTGGTATATTCAATCTCTGTGTAATCATCTGAAGAGCTTGGTCCCAAGGTGAGAGTTTTGAGTTGTTTCATCCACCTACCTCTTTATCCATCCGTCTACCTGTTCATCTGTCTGTTCACACACCCTCCCATGCACCCATCCATCTGTCCGTCCATCGATCCACTCATCCATCATCCATTCATTCATCTGTCCATCTGTTTATCCATCTATCCATCCATTCGTCCATCATCCATCCATCCATCCATCCATCCAAACATCTGTCCATCCAACAAACCTGTATTGAGCACCAGCATATAACTGGAAGAGAAGATACAGAAATTGAAAAAAACCCACAGTCTCTGCCCTCAAGTTGCTCACAGTCTAGAGGGATAGAAAAAATAGATGGGGGGAAGAGCATCCCCTGTGGCCAACGCACATTGTAAAGCATAGGTGTTATGGGAACACATAGAACTAATACTTCACCCAGATTTGAAGGATCAGGGAAAGCTAGAGATGACAGATAGATGTTGGGTAAATAATTGGGATGAAAGGCATGCTGGGCAGAGGGAACAGTATGAGTAAAGGTAGGAGGGCCTTTTATTTGTTCGTTTGTCAGTGACTCATATCTGCTGAGTGCCTGTGTGTTGCCTTTGGCATTATAATACCTTTGATCTACCACTGCTCTGACAACTTTCCTTCTGGATCTGTCACATGCTGCTTACGTGCTACTCTGGAAATGGGCCTTCACCATGGTTTAGTCCCAGACCCAATTCTCGGCGCTCTATAGCTCTTGGCAGCTTAAGCTATCCCTGGAAGCCACTTTCTCCATGAAAATGTCTCCCAGATTTCTATCTCTGGTCCATTAATCTCTGAATTTTTAGAGGGCAGAGTTGTTTCATTCAGCTTTATAACCTCATACCTGACACAGTACCTTCTCTGCTGTTGAGCTCCATAAATATTTTCTGGATCAATTAATGACTGACTGAGTGAATCTCCTTCTTCAGGTCAGTCCTATATATTTCTTGCAGCATGCCAGACATCCCACGCTTTTGGTGCCCTTGGACCTCACATTCAGTATGCCTAGTCCTAAATTCATCTGCTCAGCCCTCTCCAGCAGCCTCCTACTCCTGAATCCCCATTTCTAGGAATGGTCACCATGATCTTCTGGGGATTAAGAATTGGAAACTCAGAACTGGAATCTTGACTCAACTTTAGCTTTTCCTTCTTCTTCGCTAATCCCTCCATCCCCACCATAGCCATCGAAGACCAATGTCCTATGACTTCAGGGACAAGGCAGTGTTTATCAAGGTCTTACTACATGCCTACTGTACTGGGCACTGAGCTAGGAACTCGGGGTACAGTCGTGAACAAGAGAGACAGAATCTCTTCATGGAGCTTATTGTGTAGTGAGAGGAAAGGAGGTAATGAAAATGTGGGAAGTGAGGGGCGCCTGGGTGGTACAGTCAGTTAAGCATCCGATTCTTGGTTTCAGTTCAGGTCGTGATTTCAGGGTCATGGGATTGAGCCCCATGTCGGGCTCCACGCTCAGAGGGGAGTCTGCTTAAGAGTCTCTCTCTCCCTCTGCCCCTTCTTCTCTCTTTCTCTCAAGTAAATAAATCTTTAAAAAAATGTAAGTAAGTGAATATTTAAAATAATAAGATAATTTCAGGAAGGGATACCTGCTGTGAAGAAAGCAAAGAAGATAATATAGAGAATGGGGTGGGGAGCTCCTTGAGCAAGGCTTCTTGGTAGAGGTGATATTCCAAGTGAGACTGAGTGATCGGAAGGAGTAGCCGCAGGAAGAACCAGGGGCAGGGGGCTCAGCTGGTGTGAGACACGACGCAAGGACTAAGAACCAGGCAGGGCCTGCATTCCCACCTGAAAATAGCAATCATGATGAGGGTAAGTAGTAATACAATGATACTAAAAATGATGGTCAGTGGACTGTTACAGTCAGCGTTCTGTGTGCTTTACATAACTCACCTCACTTACGTCTCATGCAGCCCCTAAAATGGGTACTCTTAGAGTCCTTATTTTAGAGCTGAGAACACTGAGGCTCCGTGAATTTAGTGTGATGTCAGTCACCGTGTCTACGGCCGCACAGTGAGTGATGGAGCCGTGATTCACACCCAAGGTCTGTCTCCAGAGCCTGTGCTTTGCTTCCAAGGATATGAATTGCCCACCCCTGGAACATTTTGGGAAATGCTACGTATCCTGCAAGCCCAGGCTCAAAAGTCACCTCCTCTGTGGAGTCGTCTTCTCCCAGAAGGAAAGTGCTCTTCTTCCTCTGAACTTGCAATGGACTTTGTCCACTTTTTTTTTTTTAAGATTTTATTTATTTATCTGAGAGAGTGAGAGAGTGAGTGAGTGAGAGGGAGCACGAGCAGGGGGAGGGGCAGAGGGAGAGGGAGAGAGAAATCTAAGCAGGCTCCCCACCGAGCAAGGAGCCCGATGCGGGACTCAATCCCAGGACTCCGGGATCATCACCTGAGCCGGAGGCAGACGCTTAACTGACTGAGCCACCCAGGTGCCGCAACAGAGGATTTGTCCACTTTTTATATGGTGTTGATCACATTCTGCCTTGTATTATGAATTTTGTGTATATACCATACTTGGTATGTGCTTCATGTCTGCATTTGAAGTGTTTAAGCTCAGAAACGGTGTCATGTTTATCTTTGTATCCCTCCTCAAACCACGAATAGAGAGGGCATTCTTAATAGTAGGGTCCCTCTCTATCTTTATCCCCTACCTATCTATTCTATCTATCTGTCTATCTATCTATCTATCTATCTATCTATCTATCTATCATCTATCCATCCATCCATCCATCCATCCATTCATCCTATTTATCTATGCATGTATCATCTATCTGTCTGTCTATATCCACCAGCTTGGAGGAGGAACAAGGAAAAATATATATAATTATATGCAAACTTCCTTTGTGGACTAAGTGCCTTAAAGTGCAGTATGTGAGGCACCTGGCTGGCTCAGTCAGAGAAGCATGAGACTCTTGATCTCAGGTTCATGAGTTCAAGCCCCACGTTGGGTATAGATTGCTTAACAAAAAGAAAAAAAGGGCACCTGGGTGGCTCAGTTGGTTAAGCATCTACTTTCAGTTCAGGTCATGATCCCGGGGTCCTGGGATCGCGCCCCACATCAGCTCCCTGCTCAGGGAGGAGTCTGCTTCTCCCTCTCCCTCCGGCCCTCCCCCTGCTCATGCTCTCTCTCTCTCAAATAAATAAAATCTTAAAAAAAAAAAAAGAATTAAAATGCAACTGTGACTGTTATAGTGTTCTTAAACACTAAATGTAGAACTGAAAAACTTCATACATAATTTAGCATTTTTTTTTTCAACTTTGAAATAAGCATTTCTTTATATTTGGCAGGACTCCAGTTAGCATCTTGGCCTATTCAACTAGGAAGAAGCCACATGTTTTAGGGTTTCTTCCTATGACCTTTCTATGATGTGATTTCTGTCTCCTGATTGAAAATATTTTTTCTTCTCTGCCTGCAGAAATGAAGATATCTTATCCATCCTCACTGCTGTCAACAATGATGTGAGTCAACAAGCAGACAGACAAGGAACAAAGAAACAAATGCCCCAACCCGCTTTCACACTACGGAAAAAGCTAGTATTCCCTGTGCCACAGGAAAAACTTTAATAGTAGAGAGTTCTCATTGACTCTTGGACTTGAAATGAGGCTTTGGTCATCCATTCCAGTCTCCCACCCATCACAGGAATCAATGATAGATGGTGAGCTGGCCTGCATATGTCATTCTAATTATTGGAAATACCCTATTTTCTCATACAGCAAATTCTTTTTTTTTCCTTGTTCTTTTTGACAAGTCTGAATGTTTGAACACTTTCTTTCTTGAAGCTTCAGACTGTAGTCTTGGCTTTGGTTGCACGCCCTGGGAAAAAGCAGTTGGCCTTGGTTTGTGCATCCGTGAGGTAAAGGGTGGAACCATGTACATTTTCAGATTCCTTTGAGCTTTAAGAACCACTGTTCTTAGCCTCAGTTGAGCTTCAATTTCCTCTCTACGTGACCACCCCTTGTTACCATTCTGCATCCCCTCTGCATGGCCTTGTTGTGGACATTGGATAATGGTAGAGATCACACATGGTTCATTGACCTTCTCTGCTCTCCCCTTCCTAAGGTTCCTCTCCTGCACATCTGCCTAGGTGAAAATTTGGTCTATACGGTGCTCATTTCCTGCCTTAGTGTAAGGAAGGTATTCCTGCAGGAACTGTTTCTCTTGGGTCAGGAACAGGTTCGGCTCTAGGATGCTGATAGTCTGAATGAAGAGAGACGCACTCAGCAACTCTGGGAGCAGAGACTTTACAGCCTGAGATTAATCCCATGTTGATCAGACCCTTTCAGAAGCTGATAACCGAACACCCATGTCAAGCCAACTAAAGCAAAGAAGGGAATTTATTGTCTTAGTCGTCTGAAAACACACATATGGGTGGGCTGGCTTCCGATGAGGCTTGAATCAGGACTGAGTCTGCACGATAGCATGTCTCTCTTGGTCAGGGGTTCTCTCGATGGCTGTGCTGTGCTGACTACGGTCAACAGCCCCTCTCTGTTCCTCGGTCCAAAGGATGGAGGAGGGAGGCAGCCTGAGGGTCTGAAGCTGTTCACAGGGGATGTTGTTCTCTCCTTAGTCAGAGAGTTGTTTGGCTGTGCCTTGGAGGGTGTGGTTCTGTCTGGAAGACTTGATACTTCTTACATTAAGGCTTTGAATATCTTTATTTATGTGAACTTTTTTTTTTTTTCCAATTTCAAGAGGAATTTTTTTTCTTAGCTCCTGCAGGAGGGAGGTTGAAAGTCCTCTCCTTAAGGCCTTTATTTCCAGATGAAGAAGTTGAGGCCCCAGGAGGCAAAGTGATTTGCTACAGTCCCCCAGATGGCTACTATTTATAGGATTTTATTTCCCACTTGAGTGAACTGGAATATCATGGATATAGCGGGGCTTTAGGAACATTTCCTTGGGTATTCAGATGTTCATGAAAGATGTCAGGGAATGAAGAAAAATAACTCTCAGTAATGCCTGATTTTGCAGTTATTCATGTGAAAGTCACATTAATTTATGGTGTATTTGCTATGAGAACTACTCATAAGAAGTTTTTTATAATAGTAATTATGTAGATGGAGCTAGTCATTACGTGGATTTGAATGTAGCTTGACCAAGGAAAGGAATGTAATAAATATGTCAGAATAATCTTCCAAAACCAGTGTTTATACAAGTCAAAGCTAACTGCTGGTGGTTACAGTCTTTGTCCAACTGAATATACACAGCTTTTGGCCATTTCATAAAAGCTTCTCTGCGAGTGAAGGATGGTGTGGTTCAAAACAAAAAAGCAAAGAATCTGGAGAGGGAAGCCTTGGGTTTCCATTTGGCCTTGTGACTCCCTTGCTCTGAGACACTAAATCAAGGTAGTTTTTCGAGCCTTATGTATGAAGTAGAGAAAAATGACCTATTTAAGATAAGGATTTAGGGGAATATATAATATACGAATATCATAATAAATATATATCTCTCCATTTAAATCCAGTTGCTGCGAGGTCCTATAAGACTGTTAGGTGGCAGATACCTCTGGCAGTAACCTCAATGGAAACAGCAGAGTTTGAGTTCCTTTGCGTCTAATTCCAGCTGAGTTTTAGCCGCAGATCAACCCTAGCAATCCCCACTGGTGTCCTCTGAGTGAAGTGCTGGTTCTTCCCTCACTGATCACAGTGTCCCCAGCAATAACAGGCCAGCTCTCGGCTCTGGGTCCTGCTGGATGAAACACCACTAAGGAGCTCTCCTTCAGCAGCAGCCTCTGGGGTTCGATGCTGAAGTGCCCCGGTCCTGTGGGTCTAGTCCATACTGCCCTTGTGCTGGAGCTTAGTGCTTATGTAAGGTTAAATTCTGGAATCAGGAAATGAGCCACGAGCTTTCTTTTCAGACTTCTCCAGCAAACACTTGAGGAGTCACTGGAGACGTTGATGACTGTAAGTCATGGGCCTGTGCGGACACCAGGAACACACCCATCCTTCAGTCATTTCTCCTAAACGGAGCGTGTACACACTTGTCCCTTGTCTGTGTGTGTGTGTGTGTGTGTGTATGGGAATTTAGAGCAAAACACTGGAGGTGATTTGGTCCCAGGTATTTGGCAGTGGCCATCGTCAGCCCAGACATTTATGAAAGAAATGCGCAGATCGAGTGAGGTCTCTGTATATTTTGAGTAGTTGTGCTCAACCTACAAGAGCTATGGTTAATTTTTTCTTTTTTTTTCTTTTTTTTTTTCTCGAAAGTCTAGCTTCTACCAAAAAAATGAAGGGTGAGGAAACGTTTTATAGAATATTATGCAAATTTAGTTGTTTAAGAATGATACTACTGGTGTGACTGTTATTAGAGATACTAGTCACCACAGCATCCTCCTGCTCTCTGCTGCAGGGCCTCACCATGCGAGTGGGCAGGTTGGATATTGCCAGGGCTCCCCGTCGCCAGTGCTCAGATAATGCAGACTTACAAGCAGCTGATACGGTGTGGTTACTGATCCATCCGAACAGCCACTGACCAGTATAACACTATGGGGAATGCCACTGAAGAGCAGCTCTTTATCAGTGATCCTGTGTCCACTGAGGTAGACCAAATGAGAAGCTGACCTCATTTGGTAGATAACTTCTGTGCCATATTTGAGTCCTAAAATCTTCCAGGACTGATACTTTCTGAATGATTTCGTCATGTTCTTAACCTGGAATTCTTGGGTCCTTGGATGTTTGTGGATTTATTCTCAGGGTCTATGAGTCTTTCACCTTCCGTTTGAAATGCTTCAATTAATAGAGGTGGATCCTGGCTCTTCTGCATGATCTCTTTGTATCTGAGCACTGACAAACAACTTTTGTGTCCGCATCCTGGTGCCCACGGGAGTGATGAACTTTATATCGAACTTTTTAACGTAGCATGGATTAGGGTTCAGGGCTAGAGGTCCTCAGACCTGTTGTCAGGTACCAGCACTTAACCGACCTGAAACCTGCTCCAGTCCATCCTCTTAAGTCATGACAGACTCCTAGTCTACAATCCCTCAGCCCCTGCTGAACTCTGGAGGGAACTCACACTACACCCAAAATCATGGATTTGGGACCTTGGAAGGACCGTGGCTAGGGAACCCATGGTCCAGCCTTCGGGGTCAAATGGCTTACTCAAGTCTTACAGCTCTTAGTGTGGGATTTGCAGTCGTGTGTATCTCCGGCTTTGCCGTCTTGCCACCTGGTTTCACTGTGAGACAGCTTTATTTATCCTTTTCCCTGTTGTGATTTGAACCTGCTTAGAACGTACTTAAACCAACCCTGCCTCTCATTCTGAACTCTGAAGCCCTGCCAAACAATTGTAACTATCTTCTGGTGAAGTACATGTTGCTGGTGACAAGTTATTTAACTTTGTTTCTGGTAGGGTCTGGCTCTCCTCAAAAGTCTGCAGTTTGCCTTTAAGGACCTGGTAAGAATATCGCATGTGTGGTAAGGACACGTTTGGATCTTTAAACAGCAGCTAAATTCCTGAAAATGGAACCCTTTTAAAAAGTACTAGGAGAAATTCCTTGTTTAAAGAAAGACTGATTTGCCAGTATAAACAACCACTTTGTTTTTTTGTTTTTTTTTTAAAGATTTTATTTATTTATTTGAGAGAGAGCACATGAGAGAGGGGAGGGTCAGAGGGAGAAGCAGACCCCCCGCCGAGCAGGAAG